AGAATAGGTCATCATCCATGGAAGAGAGACCTTGCAGATGTGATTAAGGATAAAGACTTGGAGGTAAAGAGATCAGCATGAATTTTCCAGCTAAATCTCATCACAGTAGTTCTTTTAAAAGAAATTAGGAGGCATAGAAGTGAATCAGAGAGATGCAACATGACATGTATGTCACCCACCCTTGCTGGGTTAGAACGTAGTCATAAACCAGCATAGTGGTATCTTTCTCAAGAAAGGAACACAGCTTTACCAGTACCTTGATTTTGGCCGAATCCAACCTACAAAACAGTAAGATAAAAAATTTGTGTTGCTTAAACCACTGTATGTGTATGGTTGGAAAACTAACACATAGCATACCTAGCTTATTTTCAGCAAAACAAACTGATTCAAAAAACAAAATCTGAAAACCAGCTCCAGAGTGGGAAATCACATTTCTGCTCCTCATCAGTTGTAGACTTAAGTCAATTATTAACCTCCCTGTACCTCAGTTTTTCATCTGCCACATGGAGCTGTTAATAAAACCCATCTCATAGTCTACTGACAGAATGAGTTAATTCATGAAAAGCATTAAGACGTTACCTCACACCTTAAACACATATCTTCCTATATTAAACAAATCTCAAGCTCTGCTACAAATGATTTTAATCAATAATATTTTAACTACCTTTGTTTAATTCAATCACAGAAAAGCATGGAATCAAGTCTCCAGTCTTTCATCAAACAGAAAGATTTGTATATAGCTTTAAAAATAGTTTTCAAATGGTCTTTGAAGAACTGAAGTTCTTCAACAATTACTCCTAATAGGAGAGGGTAACAATGCTCGACAAATGTACTCATTACCTTACTCATGTAACTGTAACCCCTCTGTACAGCATCTTTACAACAAAATAAAATTTAAAAAAAATATTCCTAATAATGCTGAAGTCAATTGTGTCACCAGAACTCCCCTAGTGATCACTGCTAACTTCAATCTGAAAAAAATGGACCCATCAAAAAGCAAAGATTGTGTTAATAAAAATAATAAATGAAGCAAAATTAATTCTATCTGCATTTGCCATAACTGAACTTTTTCAGCTTATTTGATATTAATGTAGTACATTCACTTGTAAAGCCTAACCTAGCACTGCTTCACAAACTACTTTCATTTTACTTGGGCACTGACTTAGTAATATTTACATAAATTAATATACCCAGGGTAAGGAGTAATAATGGCTCACTACAAAAATGTCAAGATGTAACAGCTGTAATTTCTTTTTTTTCTTTTTTTT